AATCTGTTCAATCTGTATATGTTACACGTATATATGTTTTTAGGACTGACCATTTTTACCAGACAGCGAGAAGACATCTCCTGCTCTCAGCTTTCCTCTGTGGTCTATAATTTTTGTGAATTAGGTCCTTAAGTCTTTTCACTTCCAAGTTTGGCATGATCATTGGTCATCCCCTTCAGATCACCTCTGGGCAGTCATTGTTGGTAAGACACGTAGCCACTACATGATACTAATGCTTCCCATATGCCGATGGGTGAAGATATCATTCATTGGAACATATGCCATCCCACTGAAAAAAACTTACCCTTTCTCCCTCAGCATCATCAACTGCCTATGGCCCCTCATCTATGGGAGGAGCTCCATGACCCCTTTCCCTCTCCATGCTGGAGTGTTGATGACTTGATTTTGGGTGGATTTTACCAACAACCACCACTGCTGTGAGTTCATGACTACAACCTCCTTGCTATATTCAGATGACACTATTTCATGGCTTCCCTGATCTCTGGCTCTTAAATTTTTCTGTCTCTTCATTGGTGCTCCCTGAGCCACGTGAATGGAAGTCTATGGGGGATTGAATGTAGTTGGTCCCCATAAACTCATAGGGAGTGACACTATCAGGAGCTGTGGCTTTGTTGGAGGAAGTGTGTTTCTGGAGTGGGGTGCAAGCTTTGAGATCTCCTAATCTCAAACTAAACCCAGTGACATAGACTGTTTTTTATGTCTGTAGATGAAGATGTAGAACTCTTCTCCAGCACCACATCTGCCTGCACATCTCTAGGTCCCACCATGATAATAATGGACAAAACCTCTGAAAGTATCAGCCACCCCAATTAAATGTTTTCCTTTATAATAGTTGCATGGTAATGATGTCTCTTCACAGCAAGAGAAACCCTAACTAAGACCAGGGGATATGGTAGAGATGTTCCACTTAGGGCTGGACACCCCACTGTTCCCTTCTCTCAGAGCCTCAGTCAGGTGCTCTGCATTCTATTCAGGGCTTTTGGTTGTGCTCAGTGTGAGGTTGTGTGAATATTCATACCTCATATTGGTTGAGAGAACATGGACCCTTAAATGTTTAAAGTTTTTTTTTTTATTTTTTAAATATAATTTTTTTATTGAAAAAAAAAAGATTTCCGCCTCCTCCCCCCCCCCCC